TACCTTTGCATGTGAAGCTTCAGTTAGCTTTAGCTTGCTTCCTCTAAAGCTTCTCCTTTCTTGGGGTAAGGCTAAGAGAGTTAAGGTCAGGGCTTAGGTTAGCTTTAACATACTTTTCCTCTTTAATCTGTGCACAGCGTATATTGCATAGTACAATTAGGTATGTGATCAGAAAACAGTGGATTGATTAAAATCACTGATTTTAATTGCAATTTAAGTAATAGAATTAATCCTGTTTTGTATTTATCCTGTATATTTTTTGATAAGATGTTAGCTTGTAACTAAATATAGTCTCTCTTGTGAGATAAGCACTTACTAGCTAACATTAGGAAAAGGATACCTTACTTTCACCTATTTAGGGCTCATGAGAATCTAAATACACATTTATCTAGTAAATTAGACATGATACACATGAAAGCAGCTTGATAAAAGTAAAATATCAAGGTGTTCAAGATAGTCTGTAGAATGCAGTTAAAAAAGGAAATGCCTGGAAATCTGAAAATGATTTCCCTTTTAAACCAGAGAGATGCACTGAATAGAAGCTTGTCTAGTTCATGACTCAACACTGATTGTTTCTGTTAATGGTACCGTTAACAGGTTTAGAACTAGAAGATTCTGTAAATTCACATTTAATCTTACAGATAAAGAAGAAAAACAGTGACAGCTTATTTTGAATTTGGAGAGGGTTTGGGTTTTGCTGTTAAATTTCTGAGGGAACATTTCACTGACTAAAACGAACACAAGTTCTCTGTACGGTCAAGAGCGTAATGCTGTGAAATGCTTTTCCCTGCTGCTTAGCCACTGATCTCTATCACATGCGCTTAATTTCTTCAAAGCTTTAGCTATAAATTTGTGCTAATTAAACTTTTTAATTTAACATTGCTATAATGTCCTAATATAACACACTTCAGTTACTACGAGCATAATATCGACTTTAAAAAGAAATATTTATCTACAACAACTATTTTAGAACTTACCCAGTTTTAAGTCATTGTAAATGATTTAAGAAGGAAGCTGCTTTAAATATTTGAAGTGCTCTTAAGCTCAAAAAAAGTACATTGTTTACCTGAAAGTCTGTGTTATTAACAGCATTTAAAATTTTTAGTGTTTTAATAATTGAGACTTGTAGACTTCAAATTATTCCCTTGCCTTTCCCTTCTCAGAGGCCAACTGAGATTTTTGCTTTTCTCTAATAGAATAGCTAGTACGTGTACAATCACTGCGCAACATATGGTATTTCATGGGCAAGTATATTTCTTCTGGAAACCTTTTAAAAAAAAAAAAAAAGCCACTTGGGAATGTTGGAAGAAAATTCAAAACCAGCCACATTCTAAACTCTCTGCATCATTGTAAATTCATCAAAGAAGGTATTTGTCTTTTTAGCTGTTAATTTTTTGCGTGTATGTGTGAAAGCAGAGGATTGTAAATAAGCTCTAAAGAAACACTATGTGCTATAATAATTGGTATATTTCATTAGTTTGTATTGTATGCCTCCCTTACATTGATATACTTTAATACACAGTATTACGTTTGCAGTTGTAGTAAGTCCCACATGTTTTCACAGTTGCATTTCCCTGTGGGAAGGCAGAGCCAGACTCTTCTCATAGATGGGGAGTGGAAGGATGAGAGACAGCAGACACAAGCTGGAACATGGGAAATTCTGATTAGGTACAAAGAAAAGAAAATTACTATGAGGGTGGTAAAATACTGGAACAGGAGCCCAGAGAGGTTGTGGGACCTCCATCCTTGGAGGTGTTCAAGGCTTGACTGGGTCCAGCCCTGAATTAGTATGCTTATTATGCGTGTATATGTATCAACGAGGTTTTTGACTAAAATTGATGTGCATATTTCATCTCTTACAGGTTTGTGGCTGGGTGTTTTAAATAAAGGCTTTTCTTTGTGCTTCATGTTACCTATTGGACAGGCAAACTGAGAGTCCGTAGAATTTCAAGTTTGAATAAATGTAAACATTAGCCATTGATTGAATGGAGGAAAAAAAAAAAAGACTGAGGAAGAACTTTCCTTCACTGAATTTGGGGGAAGGTCAAAGGCGAAGCTTAGAGGTGACTGTTCTTTTGAGGATGAAGTGCATTCCAGGCAATTCCAAACTGGAACTGTTAAGGTGTGGTCCTCTTATTAGATCTTCCCCAATGGATGTCTTGGAGATCTGGTATTTCAGTGGCGATGTGGTCATCCATTCTAGCGCGCACTAAAGAGAATAGGTTTGGTGGGGGCTGTAAATAACAATGTCAAGTTTTACTCTGTGGGAAACAAGTTAACAGTTAGTTAACCATTACAGATAGGAATATAGAAATGCAACTGGAAATACAGAAATAAATTAAAAACAATTAAAACTTAGCAGGAACATTAATTTCTTTAGGTCTCTTGCGTTTCAAAAAAATCCCAAAAACCAGATGTACCAAGGTCTGCCTAAAATCCCAGCCTGACTTGAGCTCTAGCCCTCTGTCCCTTTCTGTTGTCATGGATGGAGAAGATCCTATTTGAGAATACACCAGCCTAAGAGGTAACTGTATTTTAGTCCTGTTGAGGATGGAAGGGAGAAAGAAAAGAAGTTGGAATACTTTGAAGTCTGTTGAGTTAATAATGAACAGCTTTTTAAATTTTCATTGTTTTAATATCACATACTGTTGGGTAGATGCAATATATTCTTTTTTCTGCCTAGGAGTCCTTCTCATATTTAAAATAGGTTACAATAAACGTAATATGTAAACTTTTGTTCTTTTTTCCCCCTTTAGACTACCTCAAATGTAGAAATTCTTGTATGTGGAAGAGATGGGTAAATGGTGAATTCAAATTTCATTTTGATGGGTAGCTATTTTCTGAAAGGAAGTTGAAATGAGAGAAGCTCAAATCTAAACTGTAAGAGGTCATCAGTTTTGCATGCCTTTCATGGGGTACGTAAAGTGAGATGATACTTGGTGACACTTTTTTTACAGTGAGAAATAATCACAATGCAAGGTTAGTAGAGGGCATTGGTTTACTGGTTTACTTTTTTTTTTCTTTTTTCTCCTGCAGAAATGGGCCTGCAGTGCAAATGAGGGCAGTTGTTACCATGCTTCAAACTTAAGTAATAGCCTGAGCTTCAATTTCACAGGATGCTAGCTAGAACAGCAGGGTCAAGACCTGGCAGAGAAGCATGCGAGAGAGAGCATGTGCATTTGTTTGCTCATGTGTCCATCCACCCAGTGCTCTTGGTCTGTTTTTTTTAGAACAAACAATTTACTTGCTTGGTGCCTAAGTTTCAAAAATATACTTATTTTGCAAAAGGAAATTAATGCATGGATTAAGACTGCTGTTCCCCATAGTGAGTTCTGCTAGTTCAGTATCTCAGACTCCTGCAACATGCCCGATTTATCTCTTTAGAAAGTTTAGAAGATTGAACATTGCTGAATTAGTTTAATAAAATAAAAAAAAGGGAGGTGGTGATTTATGTCTGAGCGCATTAAAAAAATAGAACTGCTAAAACTGTCTGTATAACTGCTTTTGGAAATAACTCTTTCACTTGCCAGAATGTCTTGTGCTGCTTTTTAAATTGCAGTTAAAATGCGTTTTACTAACATAAGCATATATTTGACTATGAACAGTGAGCTGTCTAAATAATTTGATGTTTTCTGGGGTGGGAGGTGGGGTCAGGCTACTGGTATCAGTGGATTCATGGCCCAAGGCTTCACTCTGCAAGGGTGGAATGGAAACAATTGTAGTGGTAAAAATGGAGTATGTCTGATACCTCAGATTTTTTTTTTTGAGATACTCCTTTGAAATAGACTTTTGGTTTACTGTGTTAAGAATGAGAAGAGTTTAGGTATTGCTATTTGAGGGGAAAAAATAGTATTGTAGAAAGATAAGTTTTTGGAAATTAATCTGAACTCCAAGGCTTAAGCAGAGTTGTTTCAAGTGCAGTTCTCACATTTGACTTGGTAAGCTGAATCCTATCTATTCTAGAAAGAGTCTATGTAAGTTAAAGTATGCAAGTTCTGAAAATATTTTTAGATGACCTTGTAGGATATCAGTCAGGTTAATAACCTGTTACTTTGACCTTCCTCCTCACCCCCTTGCCTCTACCTAAAGTTGACAAGCTTATCAGGCAATTTCCTCAAAGTATGCCCTGGGGAAACATGACATTAAAATTTCAAACAAAACATTGCAGGTGGATGAGCTGCTGTTATTACTATGGCTAGGTGTGTGGTTGTTAAAATGATTTTAGTGTTCTTCAGGAACAATTGTGTCTTCTGTAGTGGTTTGATCTAGTTCCCAAATGCTGATTTAATCGGAGGAAAAAATTATTATATGTCTGTTACATACTGGTAAAAATGCATCTGCTTAGGTGGAGACCTATATGAGAGGTGTTACAGATCTCTGCGTTCCTTACCCACTGCTTTACAAACTTCCCTCCTGAAATTCCTTACCACAAATTTGCATTTAATGTTCCCTTTATTATGTTTATATGTAAATGAAGATAAATGGTGCCCTGAAGCCTTGAGTTTGGTTAAAGTCCAACAAGTGTTACTATCCGTGATGAACCCAGGTGCTGTGCTTCAGCAGACATCCTGTGGACCTTAAATCTGTGCATCATATGCTGTAGGTCTTTATGGATGTTGCATATGAAATATGTCCCTGCATGCATGCTTATGGAAGGTCACTCATCTTTGTTTTTCCTTAAAGAATGTGTTTCTGGAGTGCATAATTCCTAACAGAAGCATGTTAATGGGTATTTTACACCTACAGTCTACATATAAATAACATAGAAGTAACTTGGTGGTTGGGTCTTCACCATGAGTTCTATATGAAAGTCTAAAGTGATCATCCCCCCTGAAAACGCCTAAACTCTGTTATACACTAGTGGACAGTTATTTTATCTGTTAGAAAGTTCTTGAATTTTCATGCTAGCAATTGGAGAGAAAAGGTGGAGCTCTAGATATGCTTTATTACTGGAAGTGTGGGGGTTTTCTTTTTGACATATCTTCTGTTCTTAAATTAAATGTGTTTTATTTTCAGCTCAAGCTTGTGCAGATGTTCTGGCATTAGCCAAAGAAGCTAGAAAGCGAAATCTTGGTCCTCTTCATCCTTCCTTTAATGTGATAAAGATAATAAGAGAGGGACTAATGAGAAATCTTCCTGAAAACACTCACCAGTTGTCATCGGGCAGACTGTGTATTTCACTAACCAGAGTATCAGATGGTAAAAATGCATTGATATCTAATTTTAACTCTAAAGAAGAAGTTGTCCAGGTATGTTTGGTTTTGGCAACTTTTTAAAAAGTTTCTGTAATCCTAAGTCTATTTAACATCATCCATTGGATTTCATTTTAAACATTTTGGGATATTGTGACTTTGACAGTATTTTAAAGATGAATTCAAGCTTCATTATGCTAACATCACTTACTAATTTTCCTAGTCAATGTATTTCCAAACTGTTTTAGTGAGTAGGTGTGAGGGATCAATCTTAAAAAGGATAAATGCCTTTGAAGTGCAGTGTATCTAATGAAAGTATATCCTTCACGAATAAGAATTTTTTTAAGGTCATTACTACAAAAGCAGTGATCAAGAAACAGTCAAAAATAGCTTTTTAAAATTGTTAATATCAGTTGTAAAGCTAGTTTAATATGATCCCAGAATGTTGATATTTGTGTCCCCAGTTAGCTACTTTGGTCACTCAGAAAATGTATAGCTTGAGTAAATGATCATGAAAACTTCCTTGCTAATTAGCATTTCTAGAAATGGTCTTTTAGCGAGTCTTATAATTTTTTTTTAGATGGAGTGTGGTCACATTCTAAAAAATGTGGAATACCCTCATCCTGTTTAAAATAATGCTTGATAATACCTTTTTTTTACCCTTCTTTTTATTCAAGTGTACTTGCTGGGGATTTTTTGGTTGCTTGCTTGGTTGTTTTTGCTAACATCTAAATAGACAAAGATAAATGATAATGTCAATAACAGAAGAGTTACCATTTAATCTATATGGTCTCATTTTCCTACAGGCTTTAATCTGTAGTTCATTTGTCCCTATTTATTGTGGCCTAATTCCACCATCGTTTAGAGGTGTGGTAAGTCTCTACTGTTAAGATCTAAAAATAGTTCTAGCTATTGTTAAGAGACAACGTGTATGTTCTTTTGGTTATCTTAATGTAAAATAAATGCCTTCATCTAGCTTTTAGTACTGTAGCTGTACGTTACAACCTCTCAAAAGAGCAAGGAAACACTAAATGTGTGGAAGATCTGTTATGTATGTTTCTTCTCCACCCTACAAAACACACGTGCGCATTCGTTCTCTTAAATTTCTAGCTTGCTGATGCAGTTGTTAAAAGAGGGTATTCTAAGCTAGCAAGTATTTAACTTCAGGATAAATATTTATTGAAGAAAGTGATGCTCATTCACCTGCACAAAATTCTAGGAAGGGTCACTTATACTTGTTTGTTTCAAAAAAAACAAAACCAAAAAACCCCCCAAAAAACAAAAACTTAGTAAAATAGTTTATTGTGTATCTTTTGTGTTCTTACTGTAGGCAGATCTAGCTTAAAATTAGATTAAAATTCCATGTTCAGTGACATATAAATAAAGCTTTTTAATGTCTTCTGTCATTTGTATTCGGTGTAAGAAAGGTTGCTTTTTAAAGCGTCAGTATATTAGTCTGTTCTATTACTTCACAGGAACTGTTGGTTACAAAACCTCTTAATACTTAATGGCTATACCGGGTTTTCTAAAAACCCCATTAAAGGGGCAGCAACTGCAGAAAAATTAGTATAGTTTGTTGTAAGTGTTTTAATTAACAGGTCTGGAGGCAGAAATGCACTTCAAATCAACGCAGTGACTTCATGGCTTTTTCTTACAGTGTTGTATTAACTTGCATTTGCTTTCCTTCCAACTTTTTGGTGCTCCTTACACAAGGAGAGGGGAAGAATATTGAAAGAAAACTCAAAACATCTATAACAGTGGTTGATTACAGCCTGTTCTCAAGGCAATCTGGAAGTGCTAAAAGGTCAAGGATAGCCATGAAATGTATTTTCTTCTTCATGCTGAAATTTAAGCAAAAGTGATTAGAACTGTATAGGGATTTTTCTTTATCTGTACTTCTAAACCTTGTATGTCTCCTTAAACTCTTCCAGATTAAAGGTGTTATGAAAACAGGACGTTGGACTGAATCCAAGGTTTAGGTGGATCCAGGCTAATCTGGCTATTCAGTTCTTGTCACCAGACAACAATGTTATTTTAAAAGGCTTAGTTCAGAGTACAAAAACATACAGGCGATGTTTTATTTGGCCCTATTTTGAGGGAAGGGGAAGGAAGGAATCATTGTCCACTTTTGATCTTTGCAGTTATTTTGATATGATTTTAATGCTTAGGAGGCATTTTTGATGTAACTTGGTAAGAATACAGTTGCATATGCTTGGCATGACTCCTGTAGGGCTTAAACACAGCAGAATGTCAGGTATGTGAACTTTGTAGCATCTTGCTGTTTACTGGTTTAGTGCTTCATGCATGTATACTTTAAAACAAAGGCTTAAGGATAACTTTCAATAGGTATATCTAACTGCCAGTTGTGAAGCTTTTTTGGTGTGATAGGGTTTGTTTGGGGTTTTTTTTACCCCTTTCAAATACAGCAATGGTTTTAGATTAAAAAATTACTAAGGGGAACAGATAGGCAGAAACTCCAAATAATTAAACCCATTTACCTCTGGAGAACAGTGATTCAGATGCATACTTCCACCTTTTAATAATTTCATGAGAAAGCTGCATGCTATGGCTCCTCCTTTGCCAAACCTGTTGTATTGTACTCAATACTTCCACAAAGGACTTGATGATTGTGTACTTTAGTGATTGCATTATACACCTACAGGAATTCTGTCAGTAGCTGCATGCTGCTGGGTCTAAAGAGCATCCAAGAAAGCTGACACGTAGGAACAGGCTGCTCTAGAAGAACGTGTTGGATAAATTGCTCTGAGCTGTCCTCTTCCTAATTCCTAAATTGTCTCTCAGAATGGTCAGGGAGTGAGTATCAAGCCAGATGCAATTGATAATCTAGGTTGCTCTTGGTCAAATCACCTGCTCTGTTACATTTAATTTTACAAGGACCTACAGGTTATGTGTGTTGCCTAGTTAGGAAGAAGGAAAAGGCATCCACTAAACCAGCAAAGCTGGTGGTCTTGTGCCGCTGTCAGAACGAAGTGGCTACGATTGGCCCCACTGGAAAGATGGCTGTTGTGAGTGAGTGGAGGAGTTATCTTTAGCCATAGCAGCTGCTGCACCGTAGATTAGTTACACTGATACAGAACTCTGCAGTTCTTGAATCTTGATGTGTCTGAGATGGTGATACACTAAAACTACAGAAATGGGCAATTCAACATAAGGGAGACAGAAGCCATTCCAGGTTATGCTTTTAAACTTGCATTCAAAGCAGAATAGATATCTGTGACTGGCAAGGTTCCTGAAGCATTGTCCATTTTTACTTGCAGCTTCTTTATGCCCAAATACTTAAGATGCTTTTATATCAAATTCTAATTAGAGTAATTTTAAGTAACTCTTATTCTAACTGAATGGTTTGGTATCATGAAATTTGAGCATCAAAGTGTAGAGCTATTCTTTTAATCATATTCTTTCTAAAAAAGCACCCTGATAGCTCTTTGGTGCTCTGCTTTGAGGAAGAAGAGACAGTGGTGCCACTTTTTTCTCTGCATGTTGTGTAAGATTGGGATCTTTAAAATGGACTTGCTCTTTCTTAAATATATTTAAAAAAAAAAAAATCCCAAATAGAATACTCTTAGGCTGTCTGTGGAACTGTAGGTAGGAATGTTTTTTTTTAACTGGCATTAGAGGACAAAGCATGCTACTCAAAATGTTTAGCCTGGGAGAAAAGGCACTGTTCTGTTAGTCTTAAATGCTATGTAATTCTTGCGTGGGAAATCCGCTAGATAAAGTCTGAAAGGCTAAAAACTGAAAATTTCTATTTCTGTTAATTTTTGTAGCGCTACGTGGATGGAGGAATCAGTGACAACTTACCTCACTATGAATCTAAGAATACCATCACAGTTTCGCCTTTTGCTGGGGAGTGTGATATCTGTCCAAAGGGGAATTCTGCCAATTTTCATGAAATGAATGTGACCAACACCAGCATTCAGCTCAGTTTGGGTAACCTTTATCGTTTAACACAAGCACTCTGTCCACCAGAACCTAAGGTAACTCACTGAATTCATGTAGTTGCTAAAACATCTTTCCATATAAAGGCCTTGGTTTTGCAGAAAGCTACAGCATTTCATCTAGTCATATAAACTTTTCTGGTGACATTTCTCTTCTTGTTTCTATTTTTTTCATAGTCTGTCTTCATTCTCCTTATTTTTAGTTTCTCTCAGACTAAAAATACATGCCCTGCTACTGGCTTTCAGTATTTATTTAGGAATTAGCACAGGATTCTTTCATAAAGTCAACACTAGTAAATTAATAACTGTCAGTTTGTAGTCCTTTCATGTTTCCCTGTTAACCAGGTGCTTCAGAACTTAGCAGAAGTTCTAAAGCTTTGTGGTTTTCTAAAGTTCTCAACCAATACTTCACACAGGCAAGCTGCCTGTAAACATTGCTAAGCGCTGTTAATTGCAGATCTGATGAGGGAAATGCTCTTGAATTGTCATTGTGAAAGCTGAAAAAATGAAAACAGACTTTGCCAATTGGCTTGGGATATACTACAGAGGAGAAGTAATGTTCCTGACTGCTATAGATATTCTTTTTAATTGAGGGGTTTTTGACCACTTGAAGAAAAACGTTAAATTCTACTTATGTAGGCTTTAATTTTTTTTATTTTTTTTTTTGTCTAGGACTACTGTGTAGGTGAGCTGGTGTTGCATCTGGTGAAAGATGTTTTCATATGGAAGACTAAGTCTGAGCTTGAGCATGAGAATTGCACAGCTGACTTTTCATAGTTTTGGGAATTGGGAAGCACTGGGAGGGAAGAAGGGGAATTGGCATACTCCAAGCGACCCTGTTTCATTGTTGCTTGCAACTGCTGAAAGGCTTGTCAAAGAAATGAAAGAGGAGGAAATTCCTGTAAACTGTTAGAATGCTGTCCCTTTAGGTGAATTATTCAGTGCATCTGTAGTAGCTGAAAGATAATTCATGTATGCATCATCACAATAGACATATTAACCTGAATCTGTTGAATTATAGCAATTGTTAATGTAAATTTTTCTTACAAGAATGGAGGGTGGATGGAAGTGGCTTTTCATTTTGCAGACTGTTGATCTTAAGTTGAATGTCCTTTTATTTATCTGACTCATTTACCCTATGCTTGCAGGTACTAGGAGAGATCTGTGAGCAAGGATATTCAGATGCTCTTAAATTCTTGAAGGAGAATGGTATGTTAACACTTGTGAATAATTATCGATGATGTGGTCTTAACCTGAGTTAAAAAAAAAAAAGTGAGGGGGCTGTATGTAGCTAAGAAGGGGCTAGGTCTTTGAGGGTTTTTTTGAAGGGATCATGAGAAGTTTAGTTCTCACAGAAATAACATGGTTGTTGGAATTATTCACCTGAGGTAAGTTGTGCTGCCATACAGAAACTGAACTTTTGGGTTTTTGTCAAATTTGTGTGAAGTGAATGTTAAGGTATTGTTAAGTGAAATTACCAAAGAATTCCAGTTCTAGGGAAATTGTGTTACTAGTTTCTTTTGTGTTAATCGTGAAGGATAGGAATAGGCTATTGTTTCCCACTCCTGTGAAATCTGTATCACCTCTTCTCTGCTATCATCCAAGTGAACTTCTAGGTAAAGCCTTATAGTCTAGAACTGGGAGCTGGCTAACAACAATATAAACTCAGTCACAGACAAACCCTTAGTCTGTATCTGGAAAGACTTTAGAAGAAACTGACTTGTAATGTAGCAGTTGTTGGGACCCAGATAAGTTTAGGAAGAAGAATTTAAAGTTGCTCTGCTCTACTCCTAGAATTCCAGTAACATATTTTATATTGAACATATTTTATATTGCTCTGCATGCTTTGAGACAAACAAATTAAAGACAGTAACTTGATTTAGCATTAAGTTAACCGTGTGTTAAATATGCCTAGTCCCTGTAGTCTTTGGATGCAGAAGCAAATTGGTACTGGGTTGGATTAGAGGAATGGAAACTGAAATGTGGTGTTTGCACTATTACAGATGGTACCAGCTACAGTATTTTAATGAAGTCAGATTGATGTGCACACTGCTTATACTATATTATAACTAAACTTTAAATATTCAAGTTTTCTTGGAACAAATTTCTTCACTGTTAAAGAATGTCACAGTTCTGCTTAAGAGTTTTTGATTTTCTAGTAATATTATTAAATATTTAACAAGAGTCCTGCTTTATACCTTTTACCAGGTGATTAAAAGCACAAGCTACACAAAGAACCTATAATTTGTGGTTATCTGTGCTAAGATGGGTTCCATTGCTGCACTGCACCCACAAGTTTCCTGTGTGCATGTTTCCATCTGATACTAATATCTGAGATTCCTTGCAGCTCTTTCTTGGTGTCTTCTCCCTGTGTCCTCTGTGTATTGCATTATTGTCCTCCTTTTCACACTACTGATCCTGTGAGCACCTTTGTTCTTATTCTCTTACAAGTTTGTCTTGCTTCAGGATTAATCAGTGATAATTATAACCTTCTGAAACTCATTCATTGTGCATCTCCTTGTTAAGTTATTTCAACTGTAGGAAGTATTTTTCCCCATCTGTAATGCTTCAGATAACTTTTTTTTTTCTAAATTCAGTGTATATTGTTTTGACATTTGTCTCAGGAGTAATCGTAAGTAGGATACAGATTCTGTTGTATGTAGGTATGGATCCTAGTCAAATTTGGTAGTCTTCTTTTTT